CCGATTTTTCCCTTCCCCCAACCTCCACATTGTTTTTTGAGGGAAAAACACAAAAAAAAAAAAAAAAAAAAAAAAAAATCAACCCATAGTACCTTCTGGGTATTTTAACAACAACCCTCTTCGGTGTACATGTTGTTACTGAGTGATGAAGACTCAGTTGACTGTTTTCAGCATCAGGAAACTACATTTTCCACATACTAGGTGACATCTGCAGATGTTTCTGGCTGTGACAGAGTGATTGAGAGCAATACTTTCAGCAGATAAAAGCTTAGCAGAATACAGAAAAGTGGCTGTTTTATCTATTTGGAGGATTTAACATCCGTCATGGACCATGCTGGAACTGGTAAACTAAGGAGCTACACATTCTAGGAAAAGTAGCTGCACTTGAGTTTTCAGTAGACTCTGTTCTACTGGAACCAAAACTTCAACCTTTGTTCCTCCTCCAGCTGCTGTGGTTCTCTTTCTTTCTGCTCTGAGTCAAACCAACCAAACCCTTTGATCAACCTGTTCCCCTCCTCGGCTGTGGAGGCGCTGCACCAAGAAACACTGAAGGAAACGAAACAAAAACCACTCTAGACACCAAGTGTTACTTCCTTCTTCATCAATTGGAAACAGAAATGGAGGTGTCAGATTTTAGCGGTTGGAGGATTTCTCCATGAGTCATTTACCCAGAATGCCCTGCACTGAAGTCCACTTCTGCTTATTTGGCTTGATTACATGTTCACACCTCCCCACATGAACCGACAAGGTGTGAATGTCTACACGAACTGGACTTTCAAACGGACTGAAGTTGGATCAAACGTATTGAATGGGGTCTTTGTTTCAGGTCTTTGCCAGATGTTTTGCTTTTTTCGATTTTCAAGGTTTACTGGCACTTCTTATGTCCAAAAACCGATTCTAGTCACTTTGCAAGGTTCTGCTGGACTCAGAAGATTTATCCAAAGCAATCCAAGTCCAAAGAAAAACTTTGAAGATGCCCAGAAATTCTGGAGAGCTAAAAGTCTGACTCTTTGGAGGGAAAACATGAAAGTGGTTCTGCACAGTTCTGTAGACATGTATATGCAGCCACTTATCTCTGTATAAACCCATTACCAACAGAATGACTTCACAGTGATAGGTGCAGGGAAGACAGGGAAGCTGACTGAGCAACGGTGAAGCTAATGAAGAGTTTATGCTGATGGGGGACACAACGTTGGACAGATATAGACTGGGGACAGAGATCTGGAAGTCAACAACAGAAAAGATAAAGTTCTTGGACTCGTCTGGAGGATTCTGTTCCTGAGAACATGAATTTGATAAAGGTTGGGATTATTTAGGGACAGACTTAAGACAGTGTGTCCTATAGAAGGACACAGATTTTTTCCTATAAGACTTAAAGTTTGAAGTCAACATAAAATGGACAAAAGCTCTGCAGTTTGATGTCCTCACAGTTGTAAATGTGAGACATTGATCCTCATCTATCTTTCCTCAAGCCTGAGAGAGAAGCATCACCTCAGGGGTGACACTGGAAAAGAAAGAAACCTAGATCCAGCAAGCTAAGCACTTATTGATACTCCTGCTTGAATCCCTAAACCCATTGGCACCCCAGCAGCCCACATTAAAGATGTTTCTTTATTTTGAGGTGATCAGAGCACTTAGGAGCTTCTAACTGCTGATTGACGTTCCCACATCAGACAGAGGAGTCCAGGTAAGATGGGTCTTAAGAAGCAGAGCGATACCAGACCAAGCTAACCTGGAGGCTAACTCTACAACCAGTTAGCCAATAGAGGACCAGCGATGGGCACACGGTGTAAAAGGAAAGTTACTGGCTCTGGTTCCTTCATGAGCAAAGAAGAAAAATGTTCTCAGGATTCTGGTCACAAACTAACTGGGATTAGCATTGAAAGACCTAGCAGAGCATAAATTTAGCATAGTCTTGCCAGAGTATCAGAATCAGTTGTTATTGTCACATTTACGTGACAAAAATTGTCATTTTGTTCATCATTTCTTGATCCCTCTGCTCCTCTGCCTGGACGTGTTCACTGTAGATCCACTTAGATCTACGCCGGGTGGACGTCCGGGTCCGGGTGGACGTCCGGGTCAGGCGGACGTCCACCTTTACATTGGCTTGGCCGATGGATATCTGCTTTGAGTGAAGAACGTCAGACTATTTGGGAGCCTTGCCAATAACTAGACCAGCTTCTGGGGTGTTCAACACTCAACACTGAATTAAAGGTTGGATGGGGTGCCAATAATTGTGGAAGGTACTGTAGGTTAAAAAATACTCCTGCACTGTATCTACAGTGGTTTCTGTGTTGAGAATTAGCAATGCATGTTTTGTTTTGGCGGGAAGAAGGTTTCTGTGTGATGAATGAGGTCCAGTCTCTGTAGCCACACAAACTGCGAAGTATTAGAGACGACATAAAGTCTGAGGATGACTCATCACGTCCTGTCACACCGAGGGGAAGCTCAAACGCAGACCAGGACGTCACAGCAGCACAAAGTGAGCAGCTAAAACAGGGAGGTGGGAAGCGCTTTGCCACTGGTCACCACAGTCACTCAGCATGGCGGCGCGAGAACAGGGAGGCAAGGCGACAGGTTTCACTTACAGTCTCTGGCAGGGAGCTAGTGGAGGGAGAGCAAAGGGTTGGGTGAAGCTTCTAGGAAAACCACAGCTACATCTTAGCCTCCCCGTCGCTGCCATAACCATTGAAAACCTCACTAAACTCGGCTAAGTTGCGGATGCTGCCGCTGCGCCTGGGGCTCTGGCTAGGCTCGGGACTATGGCGGGGGCTGCCGGAGCGGCAGGGGTAGCAGCGGCGGTGGGAGTGGTGGAAATGGGGGTGTTGGGACGGGGTTTGGGACGGGGACTGGGCCTCCACCTTCATTCTTTTGGCCTCGTTGCGCGACTTGTAGCAGAATTCGATGAGGGCCACCAGCATTGCCAAACCCAGGCCCCCGACGAGGATGTAGAAGACCCCCGCCACGTTGCTCAGGCTGAGGGCCTGGGACGACTTGTCCTGTTTCCAGTGAGGACAGGAAAAACCAAAATCAGGACAAGTTGGTACAGAGAGGTCAAAGCATCAATAAATATACATCAGTCAGAATAAAAGGAAGAAAAATCTCTCTTCAGACTATCATCATTCACTCACAAACACACCAAACTCATCAAACTGCAACCATTTTCACATTGACCTGAACTACACTGACTCAAGACTAATGAATCAGTTAAAATTTAAAAATAGATTTTCTCACTTACCCCAGTTTACTAGAACTGAGTTTTTACTGTTTTTAGCACAGTGAAGCTTGGTCTAACAGTTTACACAGTAAAAAACACATTTATACTGTTTTCCTGAAATTCTAACATTAAGGGGGGAATGATATGCGTTTTCCAGGTACAAGGTCCCGTATTGTAGCATAATTAAGAAATTATGTTAACTTCTAGTTATAAAAATGATATATATATTAAATATGACTTAAAAGAAATTTAACTTCCTGATTTAACACTCTAAAGCTCTGCCTTCAGGAAGTCATCCCAACTTGGTTCCTCTATTAACCCTTTAATGCCTGATGAGGGAAAACTTTAAAACATGATGGAATGCTCAGAAAAGTTGATTTTACATGATTCTGCGTCTTTTAATTCAACTGAACTTTTCCTGTTTAGGTCAGCAGAAATCAACATTACTTTTTGCTAAATGTCAGAATACTTAAAGAGACTTTCTTCAGAGTCAGAAGTTTCTCAGAAAGTCTTCAGACTTTGGTCAAGCATTGTGGTTTTCTTTCGTCAGGATTTTTACCATAGGTTAATGGAGTTTTGGCCCATTCCTCCACACAGAACCAGTGCAACTGGGTCACCTTTTCAGTCCTGACCATGACCTTTCCGTGGGACTGAGATCAGATTCAGATGCTTCAAAACACTGACTTTGTTCCTTGAACAACCAGCTTATGGGGTGGTTAGATGGATTTAGAGACATTTATCCCATTAATTAATTAAATTCTAATTTTAAAATAGCTATTTTTATTTACTAAGGTTATCTATGTCTGGTGTTTGATTATCTGAATAATTTAAGTTTGACAAAATAAATAAAACTAAAAAATCTGTAGGGGGTTGAAAACATTTTGTAAAATGTGATTGTCTGCAGTCTAGCTGAGGTTCAACCACTGACTTCCTGTTAGTTTCCACCTTGAGGTAAGTGAGAAAATCAGTTTCCATGTTTTATATGAACTGCTCCTTTAAGTCCTCCCTTTAAAACAGATCCTGGTTTCATTCCCGACCTTTGAACCCTGATTTTGTTCAACCAGATGCAGCCGATCTGAGCTCACATCCTTCAGGCACATTCAACCCACGACCTGTTGGCACCAAAGGGCTGCCTGTCATGCTTACTCTCATCTAGCTGATGCTGTGTGTGTGTGTGTCGCGCTGTGCTGCATGGATCTGATTGGAAATGTGGAGTTTGCATGCAGCTTTCCTAGATGAACCCTCCTCCGTGCTGCAGAGCATCAGCAGAGTGGATCAGTCGAAGGTTCTGGTCATGTCTGAACATGCCTTCTGACCGCCTGTGGTGGTAAACAAAGTGTTTCTGCAGCTGTGACACATTCAGACGTGGCCAAACGTTTTTACAGTGACACAAATGTCGTCTGTTTATTTCAAGTTTTTATTAGTTACTGAAGCAACATGTTGCTGAGAATAGCGTGGTTTCAGAACCAAATTAAGAGTAACCCACTCTCACTGGTGGCTAATTGCTTGTAGCTGGAGGCTATATCCATTGCTAAGCTAGTACCGATTTAATTAGCAATCGGCACCGATAACTGAGTGGCCAGCGCTGGAAAATGAGGAGGAAGCTACTCGCTAGCGTTAGCTTTCAATAGACGAGCTGCTACATAGACATTCACAACCCATATTTTCTAATTCAAAGGAAACTTTATCGAGACAAATGGAAACCTTGAGCATCGTTAATTAGCTCTTGTTTAAAAACCAAAATGGTCACTCTTCAAACATGGATGAGATTATCCTAGTCTGAAAAAATGTTTGAAACCAAGATTGTGACTAGCGGAACCTTTATTTGATGTGTGTACGTACTATTGTTCTTTTATTGAACTTTTATGGATCCATTTAACAGGTAACACTGTCTAAGATGCAAGAAAAAACACTGTGGCTTAAGCACTTTATATTGGTCAATATTAATAATTATTGATTTTTTTGTTTCGAATATCTGAAATATTGCTCTTTGTGACCTTTCCTGTTTTATCCAGCTTTCTCTCTACGCTGTTTTTTTTTTTAAGCAGTTATGAGGCACAGCACTGCTGCACAACTTACTCAGTAGGTTGTTGCCAGGTAGCCAAAGAGTGAAGGAGTTGCTAGGTAACTAAGAGTGATTTAGTTGATATCACCAACCTAGCTTAGCTAGCGGTGAGAGGCTGAGTGGCTATAGTCTTTCTTCTGCCTACATTCACATTTGCTGCCATCTAGTGGTTGGAGTTATAAATATTTATGCCTAATTTTCTACTAAATATACAACTTTATATCCAATGTATGTACGTTATGGAAACAAACCATCTCTACTTAATGCATTTCTTCATATGTTCTTGATAAATTCAGGTATAATGAGTGTAACAGAACGAAGCTAACATGGTTAGCATGTGGTAAAAAGCCGTTTGTGTCACTGCAGAAGCGGGAGGCCGCAGCTGCTGTGCGTGGTGCTCATGCCTCGTGTTGGTCATGCTGTGTCCGCCATCTTAAGCTTCTACCTGCATGTCTGTCATTGGCTGCACTGTCAGCAGGACAAAAAGAGTGCAAAGACACACAGCACAGAGAGGAGGGGGGGCACCCAGGCTGGTGGGACTGACCTTACTTCCAGAGTCCTTGGGTCCACACTCCCCTTTATCGTACCACCATTTGTTTTTCAGTTTGTCTAAGACTCCTGCTTCACTCAGTTTCAATACGGCAAGGTTTACGGGCGTTCTTCAAATCACGGGGGGCAGGGAAGGGCGGGGTGGGGAAATAACATAAATAACATCATAGGACATGTTATTTTATGTTATTCAGTCAGAAGAAGCCCAACAAGAGCAGCTCAGTACTCTTCACAAAGTGACGGAGCCAGTGAGGGCCCCACGGACGCTACATGTCTCTTTGCTCTCTGCTCATGTGACCCCAGGTTGGTTTGGGAAAGGGGGCGGAGCTAACAGACATATACAGGTGGGGCCCCGGCTGCGTCGCTTTTCTGGAACGGGCGCATGCTGCCGGGACCTTTCTGAGCTCAACGATTAGCGCTGCTGGACCAGAACTACCGGCTCCGTTCTGCGTCAAGAACAGCAAGTATTTCTGCTTCAACAGCACTCCTCTTCCTCACGGGGTCAAAGGTGGGTCGACCCGGCAGATGCTCCTGTTCCCAACAAACATTTCTCTCCTACCCACATCAACGTCAGAGCGACATCGCGGCTAACCTTCTCGCCACCGCCTCCGCTGCCACACTCTCCTTTGTCGTACCACCACTTGTTTTTCAATTTGTCCAACAGGCCCTGCTCATTGAGCTTTAACACGGCCAGGTTAACGGCACTTCTTGAAAACGATAAAGCATATTTGGTGAGAGGGGTGAGTATGCTGTCCAATTTGGAAGGGGAGGAAGAAGAAAGGGGGAGAGGGAGGAGAAGTCAGAGAGGGACAAGGGTGGAAAAAAGTTAATCCCAGTTAAAAGACCTGAAAGCTCCCCGAGCCAAACCTCTGCTGTCAGGTTAAAGCTGGAAACAAACATTAGCATCTTTTAGTTCCCATTAGCCACTGGAATTTCAGCATGACAGTCATTTTTCAAGATGGCTGCCGTTTGAGCCTTTTAAACCAGATATTGCCATAAAATGATCCCCATTTTAATTATTTGGATGAACTTTGTGATTTATTTTTGATGTTTGTCGTCCTATTTATACAACTTTAAAATAACAATATGTAGCAAAATCAGAAAGTGAGGACGTTGCTGTTAGCGAGACTCAAACCAGTCGTCAACAGGAAGGAAATGAAGGTATGAGACGCAGACTGAGAGACAGTCGTCTAAATGGTTAGCATTAGCAATTTTTTAATGTGTTTAGTGGATTAGTGTTAGCTTATGCAATTTTGTTTGTGTTTATCGGGTTAGCATTAGCTTCTGCATTTTTGTGCTAGTGGGCTAGCATTGGATTATGCAATTTTTTTTATGTGTTTATCAGGTAAGGGTTAGCTTCAGATATTTTTTGTGCTGAGCAGCTTAGCATTAGCGCCTCCTAATTTTGTTAAAGTTTCGCCGACTGATACTGATGTAATATTCGCTACAGCAGCAGAACTGAGCAAAAGTTTTAAACCAACTCAAAAACAGACAAAAACACGGAAGTAGTTCAGAAAACCTAAAGAACGATGCAGGCTGTAATAAATAAATAAATAAATATACAAGAATAGTTTAAATAAAACAAACAGACCAAATAATTTTAAAATAGCCATGGTTTCTTAAAATTTAGTCATTAATAAAACTTTAGTGAATAGTGCATCAAAAATTCTCTAATTTTTTCAGAGATTTCATTTGTACTGCTCAACAAGATTTTAGAATAAATGGGAACAAAAAGTAATTCTATGCTTTAACAATAAAATGAATTAGAAATATTTTATTTCTGCACATTATTCCTCAATTTTATAAATCAATGCCTTTATTTAAAGAAAGATGCATACATTTATGTATGTATCCGCAATGTAGCCACAAACTACATTGTGGCCTTTAAGAGAAAAGTCTTCAGATACGGTCTCATTTTAATCAGTAAAGCAATAGTTTAACAGGTTTTCTAAAGCTTTTCAATGTGTATATTTTTCATTTTAAAACAGTACATACTTAATGGTTTAAAACTTTTGCACATAAATACACCTTTATAAAATAGTTAAAACTACTGAATAAAACAAGTGAACAATGCTGCCACCTAGTGGACTGGATGCAAAGCTGCACCAACATTCACATTTCAGAGCTAAAATCTGAAAGTTCGCTTTTTGTTTTGTGAATCCAAACAGGTTTTGTTTGTATAACTAAAAATAAAATAAACACAAAAACACAATTTAAGCACTTACAGAAAGTTGTGATTATAGTACCCCGATTAGCTAGAAATTCAGGTCAAAGGTCAGAGTGTGATTTAAAGAGCTGATAAAGCTTTTGCTCTGCTGCTGTGACCCAACAGATAAAATACAGTGACCTCCATCGCCATGACAACTGCATAAATCAAATCAAATACATCTCTAACTGTTCCCTACTTCTCATCCTGAACCACAAACATCTAGATATTTTTACTTGAATCTGAAGGCAGATGGTTTTATTTAGGGGTGACGGTTATAATGAGCTTTAAATGTTCATTAGAATTTAAAGTTTATTGATCTTTGATCTCGTCATTACCATTAATTTGATTGAAAATGGTCTCAAAAGTACAATATTATCATTTACAGCAATAAGTTCTGGGATACGGGCTGCACAGTGGCGCAGTTGGTAGAGCTGTTGCCTTGCTGAAAGAAGGTTCTGGGTTCAATTCCCGGCCCCGATCTTGTTCTCCCTGTGCATGCGTGGGTTTTCTCCGGGTACTCCGGTTTCCTCCCACAGTGAGTGTGTGTGTGCATGGTTGTTTGTCCTGTGAGTCTCTGTGTTGCCCTGTGACAGACTGGCAACCTGTCCAGGGTGTACCCCGCCTCTCACCCGGAACGTTAGCTGGAGATGGCACCAGCAACCCTCCCGATCCCTCTAAGGGACAAGGGTGTAAAGAAAATGGATGGATGGAGTTCTGGGATACTTTGTCATCCAGTGAGATTGATTACATTGACGGGCCTTGTTTGGGTCGGTTTAATGAAATTATGAAGGGTTTCTGAGTCAAATATGGGTGAAATTTTCTGTAAATCTAAAACAGACTTCATGGTTTTTCTCTGCCGGTTGCTGTGGAAACGCTCAGGGTTCATTATAGTTCAGTTTTATTTAGTTGTGGCTTTTTCTTTGTCTAATTCAGTTTTAATTAGTTTTTAGAGTTTATTTGCTAGTTATTAGTTAAATGTTTTTTGTTTTTAATAGTTATAGTAATAGTTTTAGTTTTTTCACACCTTGGTAAAAGGTCAATGTATTGTGATTATTTTTACACTGCATTTACATTACAAATACTCATATGGATTCAATTTGCAGACCAGCTTAGCGTAGCGTAGCCGCCAGGAGGAAAATGGAGAGCCGTAATTCAGCTGACATAAACTGCTTGTTTCACATCAGTTTAAAAGGTTGATAAATGGATACAAATAAACATAAATACGAATTTAAGTATGTTTTAGTTATATTTTTCCCCATTAACATTTTATTTCTATTGCTTAACAAAATGTTTTCTCCAGTTCAGTTTTTGTAAAATTTTAACAAAAAAATAATTTAATAATCTTGGGATCGTCTCCAGGGTCCAGAGGTTTGTCTCCTGGTGCGTTCAGATCCTTTTCAATTCTTTGCATCATTGACAAAATGAAACATTGGTAATGGCAGCAGATTGCAGACAGAAAGCAGCATGATGCTGAGTCAGAGGAGCAGTGTGAACGTCCAGCCTGCTGCTGCTGCTGGTTTCCCAGCGGGCAGAGTAGGAAGTGACAAGGTGATCCCGCCCCCTCCACAGGAAGCAGCCTGGAGGAGAGGACCACCAGCATCTGTCACTGAGTGCGTCTAGTCAAATCAGGAACTCCAACCACAGCAGAGCTGCACAGCCTCACAGATCCTTCACTACAGTTTACAGCAGTTTACGACAGTTTACTGTGGTTTATTAGTTTACTACAGCTTACTGTAGTTTACTGCAGTTTACTACAGTTTACTATAGCTTACTATAGGTTACTGCAGTTTACTACAGCTTACTAGTTTACTACAGCTTACTATAGCTTACTGCAGCTTACTGTAGTTTACTACAGCTTACTGCAGTTTACTACAGTTTACTATAGCTTACTATAGGTTACTGCAGTTTACTACAGCTTACTAGTTTACTACAGCTTACTATAGCTTACTGTAGTTTACTACAGCTTACTATAGTTTACTACAGCTTACTGTAGTTTACTGCAGTTTACTACAGTTTACTATAGCTTAATGCAGTTTACTGCAGCTTACTATAGCTTACTGCAGTTTACTACAGCTTACTATAGCTTACTGCAGTTTACTATAGCTTACTGTAGTTTACTACAGCTTACTGCAGTTTACTATAGCTTACTGCAGTTTACTATAGCTTACTGCAGTTTACTACAGCTTACTATAGCTTACTGCAATTTACTACAATTTACTATAGCTTACTGCAGTTTACTACAGCTTACTATAGCTTACTGTAGTTTACTACAGCTTACTATAGCTTACTGTAGTTTACTAC